GTTGTCTAATTGAATCACGGTATATAACTTCTAGACAACTTTTCCTAAAAATATTCCAAAAAGATTCTGGTAGATTTGAGAGAAATGTCCCACTGTCCAGCAGGAAGCTGGATAAATAAAAGTAGCTAAATCTAATTAAAATTGCTCCTTGTAGTAGTATCTTTCACAGATTTTCAGAAAATGGACCAAAAACAAGAACCGGATAAAACTAGATTTTGTGCGCATATACCGTAGACCAAAAAAATAAATAAATAAATTGAATTTCATGTTAGTTTTAGTCAAAGTTTCAAAAAGCTGCAGACATGAGCCCAAAAAGCGACATGTGGCCCTAGACGGGTTGAAGACCCGCGTTCTGAGCCAAAGCCATCATTTCTCAGAATGCAAACCTGAAAGTTACAACTTAAGATCTGGCTCAACTCCACATCTTTTATCTGTGGTGAACTACTGTTTCTGCTAAACATCATTATTAGAGATATTTATGCTGATTTCTTACTTTTCGCATGGCTACACACATTAGCCTTGTGCACCGAGAGACTGCGAGAAGCTGTCAATAACTCCGGAGTTGTTAATTTAGAGCACTGTTTGTTCTGTTTTAATAATGTTCTTCCTCCTAGCCTAAAACCACACTGCTGCCATCTCTTTTTCACCATCTGGTTCGTCTCTCTGGCAGTCAGTTAGAGGTGTCAAAGCAAGTCAATCACTTAAGTCTAGCTGTGGGTTTGTCCGTGTCAGGCCATCCTGGTGAAACACATAATGATTGCACGCTAATTGCTCTGCGCCCCTAATGGGGGTTCATCCATACTCTCAAAACTCAAGTGGATTGCTTGATTGATGCTTCTAGGAAACAAGCCACCTTCTTTTTAGTGAACTGCAGAATTTAGTAAAGAACTATTGACCCAATCCAAAAACATGGAAAGAAAAAAAAACACTGTAGTTCCCAGGATGCTTGAAGTTAGACCTAATCGAACATGGGTTGGCAAGAAAGAGGGGATTAGAGTAATGTCTGCAGAGCAAACACAGCTGAAGCAGGGATTTGGCTTCAGCTTTCCTCTGTAAGCAGAAACAAACAAAGCAAGCCACAAAAACAGGTCATGTGGTTTGCAACATTACAGGTCACGTGACGTACAAACTGTCAAAACTACAAGTCCTTGGGTTTGCTAAAGATGTCACATGTGCCTCACGTTTTTAATGTTAGAAAAAGGTAAATGGTATTAGAAAACTTTAGCTTGAGTGTAATTTTGACAGTACACAAAACCTGGAGAGTATGATAAAAGCTAAAAAGCCATACATTATGTACATAAGGGAGCCAGAAAAACTTCTAACAAACACCAAACTAACGCCGTGCTATAGTGACGTTTCCTGACGCACAACAGCAAGACCAGATTCAGCATGGCTGCACATACAATCCTAAAACATAAGAGTTGCATTGCTTATCCAAAACAGTGAAGCAGCTTTATGAGGAAATTTGTTTCCTTTTTTTTTTAACAAATACTTAATAAAGAGAACCCATTAAGGAAGAAACGTATCACAGCTTGTTACTTATGAATGAGGAACTGGTAGTCCAATAATAATTACAACCTGCAGCATGAAATGAGGAGAAAAGTGTTGCAAAAACAAAACGCAGACAAATAAATTCAGTCTTTGCAGTTCAGCTGCTGATGCTTTTTGCACACCTAACCAGTTCTAAGCTTTAAGATGATACATTGAACATGTGGGCTAATAAATCTACAGGCACAATACTAATTTAGCTACTATTTGCAGAAGAATTGTTCAATCACGGATATGACTGCATAAAAAAAATCTTTATTCCAGCTGATTAGAATTCATGATTTGTGTTGCATATGACGTTAAAAACGAGGTAAAGTATGGCAGTAAGAAATAAGAAGACTGAAAGTCAGAGGGATGATATGACATTCCTTTAAATGTAGTCAAAGAGTTATAGAGAGAAAAACATCTACTGGACAGTAATGCATCTCCTGACACATAAATGTAGCTTGAAATGTAGTGCTGCTACAAATCATTAGAAAAATGTATTTCCTTTCTATTGATTGGAATGCTCAGACGCTCTTAAGAAGTTTTTATTTGCATTACCTAACTCTTCCAGTATAAGACAGCAAGTCGGTGTGTTCCTGTCTGCCTTTATAAAATCTAATTAACCTCTGGACAATTTAAGGAAAATTGCAAAGAATTAATCATGATATGCACATCTACAACACTTTAAATTCGTAGTCAACCCAATTCAACAAACCTTATAAAACACCAAAACGGCTATATCTCAGTTTTTCTCTCTTTCCTAGCATAGATCTCGGTCTAAAGATCTATCGATATATATAATTCCCTCAAGGAATGCATTTTTCCATTCTATGTTAATCCACCTCTTGATAAAACCCCTCAACTAATCAGGTTAAGTCAGCAGATGTGTTGTGACGCTTAAGCCAGAAAACTATCAACCAAACTCTTCACCTCCTGGGTTGCTAACGACCGATTTATTCAACCATGAACTATAGTCTGATGTGAAAACAAAAGCTCCAGACGTCAAAATCACTTTGCAGAGCCTCCATGCTATACAGTTCAGCTCCACCTCCTACACCTCCATGTGTCCGACCCTCGCTCCTTCGTCCTGAGAGCCCGACTAACAGTTGGTCTATTTTAGGTCGACTGGGAAAGCTTTTCGTGGTATACAGTGAGGAGTAAATTGGAGCGACAAGGACACCAAGAGCCCACTTCCTTCATCATCTTGTCCTCGCTCCCCCTCCCTCCTCCGCACTTTCCCAGCATCCTTCTGCACTGGCCATTTAGTGCAGCCTGAGAGGCTTTTAAAGATCCATCGCTGAAACCGTACTGTCCATCCTCTGCGCTGTCAACAAGTCCCTTCCCTCCCCCAGTTTAGCTCAACGCTGCCACCGAACAAATCATTTAAACCCGTTTCTATTCAGAGAGAAGGTCACGTAAGCACAGGGAACACATCTAAACAAACACTTCGGCTGCCACCGACTCCTCTGTGGTAACACTCCAGTTAAGTTATCACTTCATCTCCAAACCCACCTCCTTTCTGTCACCGTTAGATTATCGATCAGCAACGACAAGGGCGCACATTTCTGTTAGGGTGGACCCAAAGACCACATGGCAGTTCAACTTAAGGGTAAGCATGCAGGCAGGAGCTATAACAACACAAGCATTCAGTTTAACAAGTGTTAGGAGGTCACTGGAACACAATTACTTCTCTCTTAGCTGATTTTACTTGCAGCAAGAGACGGGAATAAGAGTGAAATAGCTTTTTGATTAGGCGTGTCGAGCTGTTACTGAAGCCCACCCATGGAAGGACAAGGAAAATTAGGAAAAGACTGTATAAAAACAATGCATAAAAATAAATGCTCATGCATATATTTGACATGTTTTGGATCAATTATTTTATTGAGAACTTCCTGAAAGTGTATCAATATCATCACCGCCTTCATACAAGGCAGGAATGACAAGACTGCTGCAAACATTGAACTTGGAGGTGTGACAAGAGCTGTGCCAAGTTTCGAACAAACCGGTTTGACAAACATGTACATCAACATCCCCTCAACCCATTTACATTTCTGGTTTAGCAGCTTTGTGTTCCTCTGCAGACATTTCTGGTCTGCTGCTGGGATTTTTACTTTTCAGCAACCATGACAGTGTAAACATGAAATCATATCTTCTTTTTTTTTTTTTTTAAATAAAACGCATGCATAGAAAATGAAAGTAGAACCAAGTGTACTGTGGGCCGGCCAGCAGAGGAAAGTGATGTTTAGTGCTCTGCTTCCCTCCATTAACTGGTCATGGTAAACATGATGCAGTAAGCCTGGGGTGTTGGATTTATGACAGTTTCATGTTGCTTTGTGCAAATACTAAATTATTAATTGGATCTGATGTGCAGGGTAATAAGCATAATACCGTTGTACACTTCTATTAAAACATGCAGCACACTCGCTGGTTTCTGTCTTCTCTTCATTTTGAAGTCTAACCCAGAATGCATTGCACAGGTCAAGTAATTTAGCCCCAGTAGCTCAAAAAAGCTGAAAGAAGGTCAAGAACGAACCATCAATCTGCTCATGATAACAACAAAATTGATGTGATCAGTTATTTATTAAAAGTTAAAAGCTCTTATTTTTTTTAGATTCAAAGTATTTACTCATTTATGTTGAGTAAATGCTGAGTTGGCATTTGTTATTGTTTTCCTGTTTCTGGGGTCTTCTGAACGTTTTTCAGTCAAACTATTTTGCACCTTTTCTTACATTTTTTGAATTATTTACTTTTATTTACAAAATTATATTTAGAAAAAAAAAAAAAGATCTATTCAGTTCTTTCAAAGACACGCTTTTCTGAAATTTATAGCATTCTTAAAAAAGAACACTCTTATTTTTTACTTATTTTGCTCATTTTAGTTTTTTAAAATAAGACATTATTATCCTGAAGTAAATTCACATAGCGTTAGCTACTGCCTTATTAATGCTAGCTTTTAGCTACTGCTTTTAGCTGTTGTGGTTTTGCTCATTGTAATACTTAGCTATAGTTTTGCTAACTTTAAATTTTAGCTGCAATTTAGCTCATTTTAGCTACGGTTTTCTAAATTTAGCTCTAAGCTATTATCTTGATCATTTTAGCTTTTACCCGATGCACTGGTGATATACGCTTTTTACTTTTGTGTGCTGCCACTGAGTCCCATTTTGGTTGTTTTATTAGAGTTAATATCTATTAAAAACTTTTTTTAAACAAATTTCAGTGACCTCATTCAGCTTTTACACATGAACTTATGCAGAAAATGCAACTTTTATGGTTAGATTAAAACCATTTTCACCAGAGAAGCGGTCAAATTAGCCATAAAAACTAAACAAAGCTAATAGTTATTACTCAAGCCTGTTTTATTTTCCTTTTTTTGGATAACTTATCATTAGCAGTTACCAATAAGAGCAACACAGTTACACAAAGGATTTATTAGGACTTTTGGTTCTGAGCGTTATGGATTTACTTACTCAGAACATAGAGAGAAAGATTGATTCCTGCCAGGCAGAAGCCCTCAAAGAACCGCAGCGTGCTGAACATGGAGACGTTGACAGAGAAAGCCACGGTCAGACCAAACACCAACATGAACAGCACTGATATGATCAGCACCGGGTGTCGGCCAAACCTGCAGAATTACACAAAAACGTTGATGTATAGAAAACTAGGTTTCATTTACACATTAGTCTATAGAGGCTTGGTGGAAACGTCTTACCAGTCTGCTAGTATTCCAAACACCAGGTATCCGAAGATCAATCCCACCAATAAGGAGAACTTTGCAATATGGACTATCCATGCCGAGTCACACACCAAAGTCCACTGTGGAGGAAAACATAAACAAAATGCTGCTTAAATAATGTGAAGGTGGAGGATTAAAATTATTTGTCACGAAGAATGTCTTTATATAATTATAACACGCTTCGCTTAATAAATATATGCCAGTACTAACGCGCTTTGCAATTTAGAAAATGTAAGATTTTACAAGTTTGGATCAGTAATAAACTCAAATATTTAGCAACTAATAAGGCAACAGCACAAAAATATGTTCAATTAAAAAAAAATACTTCCAATAAGGTAACATTGAACTAAATTAATATAACAGAATGCATAGAAGCAAGTTTAAAAT